TTTTGTTGCAAGATCCAGAGGCTCGATTCATCCGAAAGGGTTGCTCACTAATCACCGTAGAACATATGACCATCGTTGGTGTTATTGATAGTAAACATATAGGAGAATAACGTTGTTTTCTCCGTCATCGTGTTTCCATAGTAAACCTTCCAATAAATATAAGAATGGGTGTAAAAATCCGATCAGAGCTTTGGGACTTTTTTTTCCATTTTTAATTGCTCATGCAAGAAGAGATCCACACCATATATCATCTAACGAATTCTGTTGACCGCTTCTTAACCAACTTTCCTATGCAGCCGGCCAGTCAATTGTACAAACTATACGCCATCGATCCGGCTCAGTACAACCTACTCCAGTTGCACATAAATCTCCCCCATACCCCATCCTTGACCATGGCCAACACAGTTGCGGGATTGGCGGCAAATAGCGGCAGCGGCGGCGGCAGCATCGGCGGTAGCATCGGTGGAGGCAGCAGCGTTGGTGGTGGCGGTGGAGGTGGTGGTGGTGGTGGTGGTGGTGGAACAGGTGCTGTGAATGATTTAGTCGCACTCTCCTCCGCGCATCCGGTGACACTGGGAGTCAGTGTATCAGTACGACCTTTAGCCAATCAGCCGATTATCATCAGTCATCACCCAGATGATACTTCTAACAATGCCGTGTTCGTAAGAACCGTGATCGAAGGTGGACCTGCTTATCTCGTACGTTTATAAATTGCTTATCCACATCTCAACAATCCATATGGATTATTGTCAGGGATTTTAGCTAGATGAACTGAAATTTCTTTGTGGTTTCTTCCCTAGTAAACAGAGTGAAACTGTTTGCGTAGCATTCCTTTTCATGACCATCCGGTTTTTAAGCCTGTCACCACGAACACGGATGAAAAGAGTTTTTCCAGAATTTTGCACTTCAGGGTTATTATGTTTCCCCTAATCATTAGAATGCATTCCCCTTATTTTGTGAAACTAAGTGAGGTTTGCAACGGTAAATTACAACGATACTAGGGAGTAGGGTCATTCAAATTTCATACGATCGATATCGTGCAAACCATTTTCTTTTTCAACCGGCCCCTCACCGTTGCTTGACTTTGACTTTCAAACTTCATAATCGAGTATTGTTGAATAGTTGCTCATGCGTGCCTGCATCAGTTAACGAAATTGCCTCACCAAGTACAATACATCACAAAAAAGGGACTCCGATAAAAGCTTGTTTACTTTTCGTAATGTGAAGTTAGACAACCACACACACACACACACACACACACACTCTACTTCGGCGAAGAATCACTTTGCTTTGCAAACCCCCGGGAAGACGTGATTGTCATGAGCCGACCAACCTCCTGTGAACACCAAACCTGTAAGCCATTTGTTGGAATCAAGCCGCGTTCCACGAATTAGACAAGAAGAACCGAACCTCTCTCTGTCTCTCGCTCGCTCGTTGGTTTGTGTATGCGTGTGTAAAAACTGATCGCTTATGAATGCAAGCTCCGTTAAGAAAAAAAAAAATCTTATCAAAGCTCCCGATGATATTTCAAAATTTAGAGTTTAGTGTCGTCATTGAGTTCCATTTGCTTTTCACAATCTACACACGAGTGCAGTGTATACATCTCAGGAACAACTATATCAGATATTTTTATCTTGTTTTCACTGCTCAAGATAACTAATGATTAATCGATTGAGCCAATAGAAAACGGTTTCACGTTTTTAATTAACTGGATGAAATTAACTAGATGAAGTCACACACACACACACGGATTAAGTGTTGGTCTAACTCATCATAGTATCTGACATGCTTGCTTTGCATTCGGACTGAATTCACGCTAAGCATAGTAAAAGTTCGCCCTATCGATCGTGCATTGATTCCGGTTTCCGACCGAACGATTCCGTGTTTGCAGTGAAGCAACGAATCCCTATTGACAATAAGCTGGATACGAGAATATAGTCTTTTTTCCAGTATATTTTGTTGACCTGTACTTGATTGTGTTTTTAAATACTGATTCCATGTCAGACATCCTTCATATGCGTTGTACATACTTCGTACAAATTACACTTGCCAGACAAAACAAGAGTGTAATGATTTAAACAATGCTCAGTAATCTCACATGAATATTAATTTTCCATTTAAACAGGATGGACGGCTGAAAGTAGGCGATCGTTTGTTAACAATTGACGGTGAGCCACTATCTGGACTGTCCAGTGCGGACGCTTTGAATAAATTGAAAACAGTGATTGCTCGTGATATGATGGAAAGTCGTCCTCACGTGTGCTTGCTTATTGCTCGTTCCCGAACACCGTCCAGTAGCACGGATATTCCTGAATTGAGCACCAAGCGTGCCGCAACTCGCGCAGCTGCACGATCCCATCCGTCTGGCAGTAATACAAAGGATCCGTCTGGAAGAACCGAGACTGAGACGGCCACAAATTTGGTATGATTTTTCTTTGGTTTGCCGGTCCCCCCCCCCCCGCCCGGGGGCGGGAGAGGCTGTTTGGCAGAGAGTTGTTTAGTTTCTGTGTTTCTATCTTCCCACTGATCAAACAACAACAATTTAACAGACTGTTCTTGCTAGAGGGTACCCATTATTGCAGTTCATTGACAGGAATCCAATGACCATGCAAACTGTTGAGTTGTGTTTTTTTCGCTGTAGTAGGGGTGCAACTCACTACACAGACAATCACAAGCACGGCTTGAACTTGTTCCCAGAATAAACCAGAAGCGCATATTAAATGAAAACGCAGTTTAACTGGTGAAACATCAACTGGCTAATACGTCACACTTTATATTAGATCATTTTGTACGGAAAGAGGAGCAAAATTAATGATTATTCAAATGGGGCATTTTGTTGTTGTCGTTGTTGTTGTTGTTGTTGTTGTTGTTGTTGTTGCTGCTGCTGCTGCTGCTGTTTCTCCATCTCAGAAACTTTATGCCACTCAAACGAAAAAGAAATCTGATTCAGTGTTTGGTAAACAGGGCGATAAAAATATGCACTGATGATACCATAAATGCGCAACTATTATTCATTCGTGCTATTTTCCTACAAAATGATTATCCAAAACGTTTTGTGGATAACGTTTTGCGAAATAATCTTCCAAGGGAAAGAATTTTAAATGCAGTGAAGAACCCAATATACATCTCTGTCCCATTCAAAGGGAATACCATGACGGGGTTGGTTAATCGCAAACTAAGAACTGCGGTGGAGACTACTTTTCATGCGGCAAAATTACGTGTCGTATTCACGTCCAGATCGATCTTGTGTTCGTAACTCAAAGACAAGATTTCTGCTTCTTCAGTCTCATTTTGTGCTTGAACGTGTATTTTGTATGTATTGTGTCTCGTCGCCATGATCGAATGAGACACATTGATCGATTACTCGAAATGTTTCTTTTCTACGGGTCAATCATCAGAGAGCAATTCCTGTTGTACAACCTGTTTACAGCTAAGACTTTTATCATGCCTCAGTTAGCTTTTATGCGAGCAGCTCTGATACGAATGCGTACTACTCTAACAGTGGTTATTGTTTGAACCCTCAGTGGTTTGGAGAGTCAAGTAGGCACCGGAT